AAGTGATGTCTTTAAATAAATGTTTCAAAATTAATTTTGGCCAAAAAGATAATTTGTGAAGTAATATTTTGTAAGTGGAATATGTGTGTTGATGAAAAATTGAAAGATTTGAATGAAAAAGACCACCAGACTCTCAGATAACCCTTTCCAACAGAGAATTTGAAACCTTATTCCTCAGGTTCTGGATAGTTTGGCATTCCCCAGTTTCACTGTAATTGATCAGTGAAAATGATGACTTTGATAAATGGTAATCTCTAAAGGAAAAGAGGAAAGGCAATATCCTTCCCATGCAGAAACTGTTTTACTTGAGCCACAATTAGCAATGAATATGTACAGCACAAGCATGGAGCAAGTGGAAACTGGCTGCTCCAAGGGCTGTGCTGTCTAATGTGAGCTGCAGCAGGAATTTTGACGTGTCGCATTCGCACCCACGCTCCCCCCCTTCCTTCTTCACAATCTTCACAATAGGCCCTTCCCAAACGTTTTGTCAAATAGCTGCAATGTGCAGCACAGCCCTTGCTAATCCCCAGCTCTCCCCGAGCAGGCGGGCAGAGAAGCAGAGGGGGCTGGGGGAGCCTCTCGGGGCACGCTTCTCCCGTGTGTGTACAAACACGGGCACAAAGATCCCCCCAGCCCGGGGGACGTGCAAAAGGTGGGACCCGCTGCTGGGGAGAGGCACCGAGCGAAGGCGATGGGGAGGGAAGAGAACTGCCTGTTAAATATGGAAAATGGAGTCTGCTTTTTGTTCTGGGCCTTTGGAATCTGTGGGTGGATTGGAACTGGCAGGCAGGGAGCAAACACCCACCCACCATAGGGCTGTGTGGTTCAGAAGTTTACAAGAGTGTTTGTGTTCCAGGAGCTGTTGGCCTTGAAGCCAATGGAGAGGGGGAGGAGAAGAGAGAGAGAGTGAGAAAAACACTGTGGTGTTAGGGCCCTTCCTCAGAGATATTTTTCCCCTCTCCTTTCTCCAGCTCCAGGGCTTTGGAACTGGAGCGAGACAGACTGGGGGACAGATTAATCTGATTTTAAGATGTGGCACTCACAGTCCGTCATGGAGAGGCAGAGACTGGAGAAGCCATTGCCACCTTAATGGCACATGAGGGCTCCCTTGGCTCCCCTCCTCCTGCCCTGCTGCTGTTTGGTTCTGCAGAGTCTGTGGGATGTAAAGACGTGGAAGTTTTGCTGTGTTGTTGCTGCAGGAGTTGAAGCTTGGTTTCTGTCCCGTCATGGCTTTCGGTTTGGAAGCTGCCACTCCAATTGCTCACTGTCTGAGTATTGCAGATACAGAAACTGAGGCACAGAGAGACTGAGCAACTTGCCCAAGGCAACAGGAAATCTGTGGGAGATCTGGGAATAGACCCCAGATGTCCTGAGTTTTCTGTCTTAACCACAAGACCATCCTTCCTGTCTCTTTGGTAGTCCCCTCTGCTTTAGGAATTCCATTTACGAATTCCACCCATAAACAATCTGTTGCACGATCCAGTGATTTACTTGCATTAAAAAGTCATTTGGAAGAGAAAATGGCACCTCTCTTAAAATGAACTGCAGCTACTGCTTGCTGTCCTTTCTTTCTAGGGGATGAAGGAGAGGGAGTGGAAAAAAACAAAACAACCCAGCTTCCAGAGCTGAGAAGCTTTTCCATTGCTATCCAAACTTCCTGCAGGCATTAGTTTGGTTCTTTAAAAGAATCAGGAACTCCATATGTGATGTTTGAGTTTATCTGGCCGTTTATATTTTAGTGGATTATAAAAAGGCCTGAAACTGCACTAAATCCATCTAGGGAGTGATCCTGCTGCTGGTCCCCATTGTATCCGAGTGTCTCTGGTGACAGTCTGGTCAACTGCCACAGCCCTGGGGGAATTCACTGTGTGTCTGGTGCTTCTCCCTTGTCACAGGCACAGCCAGAGCTTCTCTAAGAGGAGGCTGAATGCTGGGAGGGGTTTTCATTTACCAAAGCACACCCTTCAGTTTGGAAACAGTGGAGTGGATGGATGTCCCTCATATTAACAAAAGGTACTATATGTACCTTCTTAAGAATATAATTTAAAAATTATTCTTAACTAAAACCTTTTAGATGATCCTGTTACCCAGTGAGGAATATTCCTAGCCCTGCTTTCTCTTAACGTGGCAACTTCTTTAGCATCAGGAATCAACAAGGACTTTGTGGCCTAGATTGTTAAACCTCATCTTTTAATATCTAAAAATCCCACTCATGGATCACCAAATCCTCCTGTGATGGATTGCATAAACAGAAACTTCAAGGGTCCTTCTTGCTACCAGTGGCTTTCTATTAAAGCAATTTGGTGGAGAACCTCCAAGTGTCTTCTCTGAGCAGAGGAAGACTCAGCTGCTGACCTGGACTGATGTGTTTGGTTCCTGCCTCTTCTGAAGCCATTTAACACTTGGAGGGTTGATGTCCAAGCTGGGTATGTGAGAGTGGGTTCTTCTCTGGGGAAATGCTGACTTAGGGGCAAGGTCAAAGCTCTCACACAACTCTTACACCTTTTCCCTTTATTCTGAATGGGATTTCAGAATATAAAAGTAGAAATAAAACACGAGAGCTTGGTGTGTGTCCTGCCCCATTACACTGAGTAAATCACAGCAGGTTTGTTTTCCAATTGCTCTTTTAAGCACTGTTTGGATATTTGTCTGTTTGCTCCTCCTCTTTTGTCCCAATGTGTTTTTTCTGACATTCCACTGCCATGAACTCTTCCAGAGGAGACTGTCCAAAATTCAATGTCTGTGTCCCTCAGTCACACTCTATGGATGAGCAGGGCTTAAAGTCCTTGTTGCATTACAAACACTATTAACAATTGTGCTGGTGTGAAAGTGCTCCCCAGCCCTTTTTGGCAAACAATTGACAGAGCTCTGAGATAACAGTGGAAACCTTTTCAGCTTGTTCCTTAATGGTGATGCTAAGTGCTGATTGAAATGTTTGTTAGAATTCTGGGTGCGCAGTCCATGGAAAATGGGAGAAGACAGATTTTTGCTTTGAAATTTGATATTAATAGAGAGTAAAAGCATCTTGTTCCTGACCTGAATAATCAATCCATAATGGAGTTAGCAGTGCTGCTGGGCAGTGGGTGCCTGTGCCCAGTCATTGGGTGTCCCTGCTGTGGTCACTTGGTGTCCATGCCCTCGGCACTGATGTCAGTGCCATGGGCAGTGAGTGTCTGTGCTATGGTCACTTGGTGTCCATGCCCTGTTTGTGCCATGGTTACTGTGTGTCCATGCTGTGGGCACTGAACATCCATGCTATGGGGAGTAGGGGTCTGTGCCATGGTCGGTGGGTGTCCTTGCTGTGGTCAGTGGTGAGTGGTGTCCATGCCACGGTCAATGGCTGTACAGTGGGCAGTGTATGTCCGTGCTATGGCCAGTGTGTGTCCGTGCTAGGGACAGTGGATATGTCAGTGCCCCAAGCAGCAGGTGCCATGGTCAGTGACTGTCCGTGCCCTGGTCAGTGGTCAGTGTGTGTCCATGCCATGCTCAGTGTATGTCTGTGCCCTGGTCAGTGTGTGTCTGTGCCCTGGTCAGTGGTGTCCGTGCCCTGGTCAGTGGTCAGTGTATGTCCGTGCCCTGGTCAGTGGTCAGTGCTGTCCGTGTCCTGGTCAGTGTATGTCCGTGCCCTGGTCAGTGCTGTCCGTGCCCTGGTCAGTGGTCAGTGTATGTCCGTGCCCTGGTCAGTGGTCAGTGCTGTCCGTGCCCTGGTCAGTGGTCAGTGTGTGTCCGTGCCCTGGTCAGTGGTCAGTGTGTGTCCGTGCCCTGGTCAGTGGTCAGTGCTGTCCGTGCCCTGGTCAGTGGTCAGTGTGTGTCCGTGCCCTGGTCAGTGCTGTCCGTGTCCCGGCCGCGGTTGTGCGGGGCGGTCGCGGTGATCTCTCATCGGTCGGTAGAGGGCGCCCGTCCCCGCCGTGCGGGGGCCGCTCGGTGCCCGGACAGTCCCGGACACTCCGGACACACCGGGTAGCCCCGGACACTCCGGACAGCCCCGGACACTCCGGACAGTCCCGGTGGGAGCCCAGGAGCCGCCCCTCCTGTGTGCCAGCAGCGTGGCCCTGGTGCTGCTCGCACAGCCCCAGCCCCTGCCCACCCGCGCTGCGGTTGCGCCTCTCGCTCCTTCCACGCGTTGAGCGTCGCCTGTGGGTGGAAGGAGCGTGTGACGTGTGCCGGGAGCGGGGAACACATGTGTGTCGGAGCAAGGGAGCACACGTGTGTGGGGACAGAGGAGCACACGTGTGTCGCTCGCCTGCAGCGCCCGGCGGGCTGGGGGCTCCGGTGTCCCGCGGCGCGCCGAGGATGCGCTCTCGTCCCGCGCGGTTGTCGCCCATCAGTTGCGCTCTCACGCCTGGGATTGCCGTCGGCGCGGGGCGTGTGCCCGCGGTTGACGCCGGGCAGGGCGCCGTGAGTGCTCGCACCCGCTCCGTGCCCGTGCGAGCGCGACCCGCGCCTGTTCCATTTCCCCGCCGCCAGAAATCCAGCGGCGAGAGGGAAAAAGCCCTCGCCCTACCGCCCCTCCTCGGCGGCGCGGCGGTCCGTGAACCCAGCAGTTTATCCTCCCCCCGCTCCCTCCCTCCCTCGCCGGCGCTGCCGCCGGGGCCGCGCCGCGCGCCCGCCCGTGCAGCGGCTCGGCTCGGTTCGGCCGAGCTCGGCACGGTTCGGCTTGGCTCGGCACGGCTCGGTTTGGCTCGGCACCACTCAGCACAGCTCGGCTCGGCTCGGTTCGGCTCGGCTCGGCTGGACTCGGCACATTCCAGCTCGGTTCGGCTCGGCGCAGCCGGGCTCGGATCAGCTCGGTTGTGCTGGGTTGGACTGGCTCGGCTCGGCCCGGCCGATCCCGGCACATCCCGGCCGGTCTGGGCGCAGCGCGAAGGGGGAGGCGGGCGCTGTTCCTGGAAGAGCCCGGCCCGGGGAGTTGGTCACATTCTTGGCCGGGATTCAATGACTGAGGCAGACACCAACAAACAGAGGGGGGGAGGCGGAGGGCGGGAGGCTGAGCCCGCCCGCATTAGCTCAGCTCTCAGGCACTCTCAGTCACTGCTGGAAAGAGGAGCTGGGAGGATGTGCGCGCTCTCCCCGCGGCTCCCCACGGCACAGCGACAGCGCCGGCAGCAATAAGGGAAGGAAGGCGAGCCGAGAGCCGAGGAGCCCTCGCAGGCCGAGCAGAGGGACGGCGAGGGGCAGCGGAGCCGCTGGCCGCCCGTGCGGAGCCCCCGCGCCGCCTGGGAGAGCTGGGCCTTTTCTCCTGCCTTCTTCCTTCCACACAGCCAGCGTGCTGCCTCCTCCTGCCTTTTGCTTTCCTCCCCCGCGCCTTCCCTCGGTGGATATGGACAGAAGGGGGATCACTGCAGAGAAGCAGCAGCCGCCAGAACATATTTGAGCCCCGGGTGCTCGGAGCGTGGCACAGACTTTTTGTGTTTCCGTGGGTGGTGTGTGTGTGTGTGTGTGTGTGTGTGTGTGTGAGTGAGTGTGTGTGTGTGTGTTGGAGGTGTGGGAGGAGGGATTGGTTTGCCTGGGGGTTGGCTGAGGGGGTGAGTGCTCGGATGAAGACCTCTTTTTGCCGTGATTCTGTGCTCCATCGGGGCAGCTTGGAGACTTGGAGGGTTTGAAATTGTAACGCGAAGCAAGAGGAAAGAAAGAAGAGAGAGACACGCATACAAAAGGATTTATTTCCTCTCCGTTAGTGGATTGCTGAGTGAGAAGGAGGAAAAACACAAGGGTGGGTTGTTTTATTTTGTTAATATTTTTTTTCCTTAAAAAAATCCCTTAAGTGGATTTGCACCAGGGTGGAAGATAACTGGGGATTTTTGCTGTTTGTTTTGGGAATAGAAACTAAAAAATGGAGACTGTAAGTAGAAGCAGCTTCCAGCCTCATCCAGGACTGCAGAAGACCTTGGAACAGTTTCATCTGAGCTCTATGAGCTCCCTGGGTGGCCCTGCTGCTTTCTCAGCACGATGGGCACAGGAGATGTACAAGAAGGACAATGGCAAAGACCCAGCGGAACCTGTACTGCATCTGCCCCCGATCCAGCCTCCTCCGGTCATGCCTGGTCCCTTCTTCATGCCCTCGGACAGATCCACGGAGAGGTGCGAGACCATCCTGGAAGGGGAAACCATCTCCTGCTTCGTGGTGGGCGGAGAGAAGCGGCTTTGCTTGCCCCAGATCCTGAACTCGGTGCTCAGGGACTTCTCCCTGCAGCAGATTAATTCGGTGTGCGATGAGCTACATATTTACTGCTCCAGATGCACTGCTGACCAGCTGGAAATCCTCAAAGTCATGGGCATCCTGCCCTTCTCCGCTCCTTCCTGCGGGCTCATCACGAAAACTGATGCTGAGAGGCTTTGTAACGCCTTGCTTTATGGTGGCACCTACCCTCCCCACTGCAAGAAGGAATTCTCTAGCACGATTGAGCTGGAGCTCACGGAGAAGAGCTTCAAGGTGTATCATGAGTGCTTTGGGAAGTGTAAGGGACTTCTGGTGCCAGAGCTTTACAGTAACCCCAGCGCAGCCTGCATCCAGTGCTTGGACTGCAGGCTCATGTACCCACCTCACAAATTTGTGGTCCACTCTCACAAATCGCTGGAAAACAGGACTTGCCACTGGGGCTTTGACTCTGCAAACTGGAGATCCTATATCCTCCTCAGCCAGGATTATACTGGGAAAGAGGAGAAAGCTAGACTGGGCCAACTCTTAGATGAAATGAAAGAAAAATTTGACTATAACAACAAATACAAGAGGAAAGCCCCCCGGGTAAGTGGTGCCTGTAATTTTAAAGGGGGCGGGGGGAATTTCGGTAACATTCATCGATATTACCACGTTGTTACCAGCTGCTTTTCCTTGGAGTCCTTTAGCAATTTTAATCGTGTTCTCCATTCTCCCCGCGTGTGTGTCACTGTGGAGGAGCAGTGCTCGAGATGGCACCTTTATTTCTCTGGTTGTGTTTTGACCACGGTGGTTGGAGTTTGTTTAAATTACGTAGTGTATTTCTATATTTTACTACGCGTGGACCTTGATCTTTGAAGCCCATCACGCTGCCCCAGACTTTATCTGGCAGTGCGTGATTTCGGGTCTTTGAGGGTTTCTTCACTCAAGGCACTGCCGGCAAGGAAGAAGCCAGAAAAAGGGAGCAGAGGTACTGATGGCTCCAGACACAAGTCCATGCACTTTTCTGGTCGCTTGAGTGTCGCCAGGGATGGAGGTGCGGGCTGAATGCTCTCAGTGCTTGTATGGAAATAAAATGCGCCTGTTAAGAAAAAAAAAATAGTGCCGGTAGTGCAGGTTGCTGGTTTATAGATGAAGTGTTCAGAACGTGAATGGAGAAGTCCCTGCTTTTAAAGTATCCCCGTGGAGCCTAAATTTCCCCAGCAGACAGGCTTTTGTATATTGGATTATGTATACATCCAGCAAATGACTCCGTCTAGGGCCAGCTGCAGCAGCTCCTTGAGGTATTCCATGCCGTGCTGTGCCGAGCCAGACAGCTAAAGCACATTTTTTTTTTAGGAGCCACTTGTTTTTCTTTCAGTCTGAGCTGCCTTTAGATCCCAGAATCCCTGGTGTGTGGGTGGGAGGCTGCCTTGGCATCTGGCAGCGGTCCTGCTCCATGGGCAGCAGTGCCACGAGGCCTTGGGGACTGCAGACACCGGGATGTCTGTCTGGCTCCTGCCGAGGTGCAGCTGCCTGGGGATGAGCAGTTCTGCTCCCTGCTCCTTCCCCCGTGCCAGGGGAAAACAAACTCCTGCCTCCCGAGTCCTCCCCTGCAGGTTTGTTGGTTGGGCTCTGCCTCTCTCTGTCAGAGATTTCCAAACTTTGGGGTTTTCTGTCTGGAGTGGAAGGGCAATACATAAGCCTGGAAAAGAGAAGATGTTTAAAGCCCACTGTGAAAATTTTGAATTAACTTACCAAATACCTGTTTAAAGGGGCAGACACACACTCTGACTACGGTAGAGCTTTTATTTATAAAAAAAGTGCAACAAAAATACCCAAGCAAACCACAGATTTAAAAAAAAAAATATGCTGTGCAAACAGTACAATAATTCCACCAGACTAGAAGGCCTGGTGAGCCCATCTGACCGAGCTGCACACTTCTGGATTAAGGAGCAGAGTCTCACTCTTCCAGTTTCTGTCCTGGCCCCCGGCTCAGTCCTTGTCCTCACCCCTCCTTTTCCTCCCCGGAGTGTCAGGACGCTGTGACAAAGCTGGGCTGTAATGAGGCACATTATCCCCGTGGTTGGAGGTGGATGTGTTTTTAATGGCTTGTCTATTCTCCGTCAGTCATGTGCCGAGATGGAATGGTGGGATAGATCTACATGGATGTGAGAGGAGAATATGGCTCTCAAACTGGAGACATTTTTATGCTAGGAAAGGAATTTTCTAGGGCATGCTTCGTTTGGGAAGTAAAATGAAGAAATCTCCACATTCTTGTTGTAGAAAGGTCCTGTTCCCCTGGCTTGGTCATTTCCAGAGTTTAAAATGAATGTTAGTAGAGAAGTGCTTTCCTTTTCTTGTAAGGCTTTTTCAGTGTTCTCTTCAACTGCATCATCTGTCCAACACCCCAGGTGAGGCTGCAGAAGGAGAACAAGAAAAGGTTACTAAATCTTGGCTGTGCCTCAGTTTTTTTGGGGACCCTTTCATAGGTCCTAGTTCAGAACACGAGAAACACTCCTCCCTCACCCTCCAAAATCTACCTGGAGTGCAGAGTGAATTGAAGATATCTAATGGTGAATGCCAAAAATTGTGCAAGGAAATGGTGGCCATCTATTTTCTGGAAATTTTTGCCAGAAATCCATCACAATGAAATGCTAAAGTCTCCTGCCTAAATTCATTTGGAAGATGGCAAGGAGTGAGGTGGGGAAGAATAGAGTGGTGTGTGCTCAGACGATGGGGTAGGGAAAACAGAATATTTTCTCTCATATTAAGTTCCAAGGCCTTCAGGACTCTTGTATTAAAGCAGTGCAGTCCTGAGGAGACCCTGACGGTGCTGGCAGAGTTTTGTACGCTTATCCTTCCTTTTCCTGAAGTCTTTTTCCACTGGGCTTAGCCAACGGATATCATATGCTAAGGTCATTTGTGTTGTAGCAGTGTGTGCGGATAATTACGGAGAGATTTAATCAGACTCTAAGATTGGTAGGCTGTGGCCAGGGGCAAGTAACATTGGAGTAAAGTTTAGATGCCTAGTGAGGAAATGACAGGATGGTCCCATTCCGTGTGTGTTAAATCCTGTGTGGGTTTTGTGTGTCTGTGGGGCTCTGGCTGGGGATGAAAGGGTGAAGCACATGTGTCTTTGTGGTGGGCTTCCTTTTTGATGTAGATCTCAGCTTTGCTTTGTTCTGTTTCATACAGAGGTGTTCGTGTGCCTGGTGTGCCATAAGCTGCTGTGTCAGATATTGGGTTTTCTGCTTTCATGAGTGGCTTTTTTTTTTCAGTTTCTCAATTTATTTATTTCTCTGTGTGTGTAACACGTTGCTTTGTGTGGTGTGTTTTCCCTGGGGCTCTGGTAGTATGTTGGTAGCATGGGATGCATATGACCAATTTTATGGCTGTTTAAGCAGCAGTGAGTGTTTTGACCTTTTCATGTGTCTCCATGAGGTTTCTGTGATGAGGTCTGGAGATTTCTGCCAGCACAGCTCTGCCTTTTAAGGGTCTGACTTAAATGGAGGAGCTGGGTTGGCACAAGCCCCTGGTGCAGATTCAGCGTAGTGGCAGAACTGCCTTTTTTTCATATTTTTTTTCCCTTTTCCTTTTTTTTTTCCTTGGCGTGGTTTTAAAGCTTTGCTACAAGGCGTAGCTTTTCCTAGATATTTCATTCCCAGTGCATATTTCTCTCTACATCAAGTATCTGTAGTGCATATCCATATTTCTGTACCAGGAGATGGATGCAGAGATCTCCTCTCTCTGTCAGCCGTGTTGGTTGGACAAGACTCCTGTTGCCTGGTCTTGCCACTTGCAGAAGAACCCTTTGTCCAGACCTGTGTGAAGTCAGCAAAGGGTCTTAACCAAAAGCTGGAGGGAGTTGTGACAGCTGGGGCCTCCCACTAGAGCAGGGACCAAAAAGGCCTCAGTCACAATCCTTACAGTATTCCAAAATTTTGGTTTTTGTATTCTCCTTGTTCATGCTTGGATGAGTAACTGACCTCCCATAAGCTCTTTCACCTTGATGCCACTTCCCAAAGCTCCTTCTTTTCTTGAGCAGTATAACTTCTCCATTTTACTGACTTTGTGTCCTTCACTGGGTGTTCCACCTTCCCATGCAGGGTTTGTTGTGCTTTGCTTCCTCTCTGCACCAGCATGGCTTTTACCTGGGTGGGTGTCCTGTTTCCCTGCCTGTCTCATCTCATCCACCATTACTAGTGTGGAGCACAACCAAGAGAAATTCTGGGGTATTTCCAGAAATTAAAAATGTGAATAACCTGACGGGGTTGCAAAACAGGGTCCTAGAAATCCAGCATCAGTGCCAAAGGCTTTTCTTGGGCTCAGCTCCTGGTGCCTGGTGCTCTCCTGGGGACTGATGTGGCCTTGGTGTGTCTGTGACTCTGCTCTCCAGTCCCGTGTGACAGACAGCTCCCTGCTTGCCTCACATCAGGATGCTCCACTCACACAGAATTAGTTCAGACGCAGCCCTGAAGGCTTTGTTGGTTGCTATTTCCAGAAGAGGAGGGTGGGTTCAGCTGCGTCTATTTCGAACCCTTTTTCTCCAATACTGAGCCGAGCACTTTGAGATTCCCCACCTGCGTGCCAGACATCTGCACCCTGAGCAGGACTGGCTGCGAGCAGGGCCCAGGAGAGGCAGAGCTGTCCTTGCACGCGTGTGAGCACACCCACACACCCAGCGCTGCCGTGTTCCCACGGTTCAAGTCCCAGCAGCACTTCTATGAAGTAGCTGGAAGCCAGAAGCAGCATTCTGGGTACTGACACACAAATGAGCACATGAGGCCTCCCACTTTATTTCACAATGCCTCCCAACCCAGCGCTGCCACAACATGCAGCTCGCTCAGCTGGAGGAAGGTTTAGCCAGGTCAAGTGTGCAGCAGAATCAAAGAACCCAAATTGCTGCGAGCGGCGCTGGCGCGGCTGGAGGGAGGACATGGGCTTTTAGGTGCTGCCCAGTGGTTGCTGGGCTGTGCTTTATGGCCACCTGAAAGGCTGCAGGAGTAGAGCTGGAATTGGTGTCTTATCCTAAAGTCCTGCCTTCTGGCAGTAGTAACCTTTATTTGTTAATGGGTATATCCTGTGGTGGGTGTAGCAGAGTGATTCTGAGTTTATTCCCTGGCAGACTGCAGGATGGATTTATTCCTCTTGGTAGAAGCTGACATGAAAAATGCTGTTGCAAAATTTTTGCCTGACAACTGGGAGTTCAGTTGTTTTCCTGTGGAATGTTGAAGTCATGTGTTCTATCTGATGTTCAAGAATTGGTTTTGAGATTCTCCAGTAAAAATTTAGAAGTCTCTAAACCAAAATCATTTCATCTTGGGACAGTAGTTTAGTTCAGAAGTCTTTTACAGCTTGAAAGTTGAACTTCCAAAGTGACACCAGCTTGAATGAAATCCCGTGTACCCAGGGAGAGGACAGTGTTTAAGCAAACATCAGCAGTTTTTCCCAGGCGTGCAAACAGTTTTACAGATGTTGTAGACCGAGAACAAAGCAGCAGGTACGTGCATGTGTGTTGGACAAAGAGTTTGCTGCCAGTGATCTCATGGTGTTGAGTCAACCACGGCTCTCTCTTGCTCCAGAAAAGTTCCTAAGTTCCTCAAGTC